AAAAAAAAAAAAAAAAAAAATATTGCAGTAAATATTTAAATATTTTGATTTATTATTCATTGTTTATTTATTTATTTATATTTTTGTTTATAATTATTATTTATCTTTTTTTTTTTTTTTTTTTTTTTTTTTTTTTTTTTTTTTTTTTTTTTTTTTTCTAGAAAATATTCCTAAATATACAGGGTAGTCCCAAAACATGATATTATTTTAACTGGTGCAGAAGTTTTCAACCCCAGAACACGCCCATGTTTTTTATGAAAAAAAAAATGTTGAAAATTTAAAATTATTTCCTTTTTTTTTTTTTTTTTTTTTTATAAACATTTTTAGTGCCACTGGTTTATTCATCTGAGGTTTCTCCACGGTGTATCTAAACCTTGCAGTGACTAACCTCTTGCAGTAACTAACCTCCTATGTTATCCACATTCTACATACCTAGTTCTACATTTATAAATTCATAGACAAAATTCTACTCAAAAAATTAGAAATGTTAAATTAACTTATCAGTGCTCATTATTAATAATTATAGGAAAAAAAAAAAACACATTAATTATTTATAGTATTTACCCTTTCAATGAAAACCACCGAAAATTAACCAAAACATTACGTTTATGACGTTTACGAAAATCTTTATATGCTGCAACATAACTTTATTTTGAATAAATTTAATAAAATGATTCATATTATTCACAATCAGGTCACAAAAGAAATTCCCAAATGTAAAATAAAGAAAATAAATGTCGTAATTCTAGAATTCAATTATGAAATTTAGAAAACAGCCCAACGAATAATCGATTTTATTTTAAAAAATAAAACAGAGAAAGTCAGTTTAAAGAAATAAACAAACAAAACGTAAATGAATTGATTATTCGTCGGACTGTTTTCGATGTATTGAATTCTGAATCACGATAAACATTTTAGAAATTCTTTGCGACCTATCAATAACCAATTCATCGTGCCTGTTTGTATTCTATGTTTTCTGTTTTATTTTTAAAAATTTAATAAGAATTTGATTGCTCTGATTGGTTCCGAATTTGAAATTGTTTGAAACTATTGCGCAACATTTGCACGACGCAAGCTCGACACGGCGGCGCGACAGAGGAGCAGTTACCAGTGAATCCAGTGATGCGCCGCTGTTCTTAATATCATTGACGCGACGATTTCAATGGTCGATGGTGTTTGCCGAAATGCCACAGAAAAGAAAACAAAACATACGAAATTGTTGAGTGAAACATGTATTTTCTGAAAGTAGTTCGTAAATTGACGGTAAGAGACAATAATTCTAAACATTTATTCATTCAGAAAGCTATTCAAAGTAATGTGGTGGTTGGGTGTTTTGTGCCGAGTGATCTCAAATCTGTGATGAGGTCTATATGAAAATACTGCAGCAAAAATGGGACTAAGCATTTTAGAAGGCTTATATAGCATACAAGTAAAGCAACAGTGGAAGTGTATTTTAGTTAAGGGTGTATCGAAAAAGAGAACTGTCGTAGTTACATCGATCTGTCATCCTAAGTATCTTTTTTAAAAAACAAAAAAAAAAAAAAGTTTCTTTTAATTTAACTTTTAACATATCTATTAAACATTTAACTTTAATTTATTTTATGTAATAATATCACAATCTTAAAATGGCGGTGCAACTAAAATGTAATTCCATAGTTGTAGATTTTAAGGACTTACTTTTTAACATATAATTTCTCTCTTTGTCCTAAGGAAACACATCGAATTAACTGAAATCTGGGCTTGATCCGGGTAATTGGATGGTGTTGGTGATATCTGCCGGCGGTTCTCAAATGTTACTATTTTTTTAAATTTTCAAAGTTAAATAACTCGGTTATTTTCAATTTATTTTAAAAATGGTAAAGAGAAAATATGTTTATTTTGACCAGATCTACCACCCCTTAAAATATCTGCATCATTTCTGGGACACCCTGTATAGCACAATATATTTTTACATGAAAAGTAAGTTTTCGTATAAAAAGTTTTTATGAAGACAGCGGAGTAAATGTGCTGCTTTAGGAAAATATATTTTTCTCAAGAGTCACTCGAAATCTGGTAATGTGACGAAGTAAAATTTTTATAATTGAAAATGTTATTTACGCTTAGAGGATATTGATTTAAAAAGATTAAATTAATTAAAAATGCTAAGATTAACTTTACCATTTTTAATATATTTTAAAACTAAGTACCTAAATATATTTTTTTTGGATTTGCTTCAAAAATGCTGGTATATTATACAGATTCACTATCTTATACAAATAAGCTTCATGATGTTTATATTTTTTATTTTAATTCTTACTTTAGAATGGGGGGACAATAGTAGAAAACATTTTTTAAAATATTTCAGGTAATTCAAATCTACATTTACCAAAAATAGTTTTTTTACGGAATTCCTTTTTTTATTATTAGATATAGATGGTAGTGATGGGCAAAACTGTTATTTTTAGATAACAGTTGAAACTGTTATGGTTATTTTTAAAAAACAGCTTAAAATAACAGCTTAAAAATAACAGGTTTCTTTATTTTATTGCTAAATATCTGAAAGAGTATGAGGCGGTCACCGCCAGGCGTATGAACGCAGTTGCAAGTTGCAACAATGACGTGCTTGGTGGTAGTATTTCCAGGGTGTCAAAACATTTCTAAGTATCGATTGTTATCTAAAATGCCTCTCTAAAAACGGTGGTTGTTTACAAATAAGCGATGTTTACAAATTGCGATATAAAAAAGTCCAAAATGCCGCCACTCGTCTATACCTATACATTCCGGTCTACCTACGCCCTGCCCCTCGATCCGCCTGAATTATGTAGCAGTGTACAGGGTGCATCTCACTCGAAGGGCGAGAAGCTCTTAGTTATGATTTTACCATTTGCGGTTTGCGGTAAAAAATAGCAATATAAGAAAATGTGTAGTATATTCTTTATAAGTAAACCAACTACACACTAGAGTTCGAATTAATTTTACATTTCAATTTGCAAAGGAGAATTTCTACTTAGGTATTTATTCTGAAAATTTTTCAGAATAAATAAAGATCTAAATATAAGAAACCATAATAAAACATAATATTTTGTTCTTTAATAAATATATTTTTTAATAATTAGCTTGCTTTCACTAAAATGTTTTATATTATATATCTTTTTTCACTTATTATACCATTCTACAGACCTAGAATATTATAGTATTTAATAAAGTTGTTTTTATGCATAATACATTATTTGTAAATAATAAATATGTTAATTACAGAGTCTAACGTATGTTAATGTTAGTCAATTATAAATTAATAATTGAAATTAAAATTCCTTATAACTTTCAAAAAACTTCAGTCACGCAGACGTAATGACTAAATAAATTTTAGTATGTTTGTTCCACCCCGTAACTGTGTAAACCAATATTTTTTCTTCACTTCTTGACAATTGCATTTTTGAGAGATGACTTAATTTATATTCTGTATTCTGTAAATTCGGTTACGGTTGTGGTGAACTTGTGTTATTTATTTTTTGTTATTATACTGCAATAATTAAAAATTGTTAAGCTAGTTTATTAGTGTATATCATAAAGTTTTATTAATATTTTGATTTTAATTGGATATTTTTGGCTGGTAAGTTATTTATTAGGTATTATACATTTAGAATATACAGTGTGGTCGAAAATAGGCGTACATGCATTGAATGGTGCAAAAAATTTAGATTAGATTTTTAGAAAAAAAATTATGTTTTTTTTTAATTGAAATCAGATTTTTTTATTTAAATCGTAGTTCCATAATAATTAACTACTTATTTCGAGTCAAGATCCTATCCCAAGTGGTAAAATCTTGGCTAGATCCACTAAATCGTAATTCTGCTTGATATCGATACCAAAAACATTTCTACGGCGCGTGCCATTTTTCCACGTCGGTCATAGATATGTTTTATTCGGTAAGAAGGCTTCTGATCTTGATTATAAATCATTCGGAAAGAAAATATAGCCTAACATCAGAAGAAACTAGTTTTGCACCAGACATTGAGACTAAAATGTTCGTATTCGAATACCGGATTTCTGTCATTTGTACTTAAATTTCAAAATAAATCTCTATCATATAGAACTTTAATCGACTGCACACAAAATTACTTTAAAAATCGGTCCAACATTTCATTTGCTGAATATATATTAAGCATGTGTATATAATATGTTAAATGAAACAGTTTTTATATAATTTTATAACTTTAACAATTGAAGGGGTGGCTGCAATAACCAGGCAGCTCCATTTTAATAAATTTGTGGGAAATCGAAAAAGAGCTGCGCAGTTCTTGCTGTAAACCCATAGCAAATAACAAGGCAGCTCCAACTAAGGTCGGCATTTATGTAATGTTATATTGAGAGAACTGATTGTTGCAGGAAACGATTGGTCATTTTTTTGAAGAGTAATTCATTAAAAATCTCATTTTCGAAAAATAGTGGAGCTGCCTGGTTATTGCAGCCACCCCTTCAATTATTTTTCGATTTATTAAAAGTATTTAAACGTAACAACAGCAAGTGTACCTAACATATAAATATCTTTTTATAGCTTTATAGGATTAATTTTTACAGTTATTTTTTAATTTAGTATAAGTTAACTATATATAGTTATCAATCGGTCGATTTAAATATTCATTTATATCAAGTTAATTTATTTTTTTACCCTGCATTCATAAGTTCACAATAAATAAAATAGGGGTTAAACAGGGACTTTTTTTTGTCTAATTTAAATTTTTATGGAAGGCTAAACTATGTTTTTTTTAATGCTAGCTAAGTGTTAGACCACATTGTATACACTTGATTTACAATTTTCAAAAGTTACAATTTTCAAAAGTTACAATTTATATTTTGTTTTGTATGCAGGTAAAATCTAAATAATGGACAACTATTTAAAAAGAAAAAAATCAGTTATATGGAATTTTTTTACGCCGGATAGTGTCACTACAGCGGTGTGTAAGTTTTGCAAACTGAAATTATCTTATAAATCCTCAATAAGTAATTTAAAACAGCATATGCAAAGAAAACATCCTTTAATTAAACTCATGCAAGAAAATGAAAATGAGGAAGCAAAAAGACATAAACTCTCTTCGCATAATACAGATCTTCCCGGCAAAGGCAATGACAATAATCAACCTTCAACATCACGTGCAGTAGTACCAACTAATTTAGAAAATATTTCTGATGATGTTATAACCCATTCCCCTACTCCTTGTAGTTCAGACACTTCCTTGCCTGCAAAATGTAAGAAAAACTACAACAGTCCACTATTGCAGTTCCGAAAAAAATTGGTTTTCCTGAGAAGAAAAAGTTGGATGAAAAGTTATTAGAACTTGTTACTAAAGACTACCAACCGTTTTCGATTGTAGAAGATGAAGGGTTTAGAAACTTCACTAATGCCTTAAACTCATCGTATATACTACCAAGTAGGAAAACTTTATCAAACACATTATTAGCGGCAAAATTCGAAGAAGTAAAAATGAAAACTAGCGAAATAATGAAGCGTGTAAAATCAGTTACTATAACCACCGATTGTTGGACTTCTGTAAACAATGATGGATTTATTGCAGTTACAGCACATTTTATCGATGACAATTTTTTAGCAAAATCAATTTTATTAGAAGTTGCAGAATGTAATACGAGACATACAAGTATCAATTTGGCTAACGAACTGAGAAAAACGACATCGGAATGGGGCATAGAACATAAAATTTTATTGTGCTTGTCAGATAATGCAGCAAATATAAAAAAAGCAGTATGTGATGAGCTGCACTGGACACATTTAGGTTGCGTTGCTCACACAATCAACTTAATTGTTCAAGGTTCCTTGACTCTCGATCTCGTTAAGCCAATTCTGACAAAAATATCTGATATGGTTTCCCACTTCAAAAGAAGTAGTCTTGCAAAAAGTAAGTTAGATTTCTACCAAAAACAGAACGGTAAGACACCAAAAAAATTAATCCAGGCTGTATCAACAAGGTGGAATTCAGTTTACTACATGTTGGAAAGGATTAAAGAATTGAAAGAAGAAGTGCGGACATCTTTGGCAGCAATCGGAAAAGAAGATTGGCCGATGTTAACCCATCAGGAATATAAATATGTGGAGGAAATTACCCAAATATTAGCACCTTTAGAGTCGACAACAGTTTTTATGAGCGCTGAAAAGCAAGTCACCCTTTCTTCGGTGATTATAATTACAAACGGTTTAAAAGAACTATATAAAGAATTAGAAAAAAAATGTCAGTTTTCTCTCTTAGGTAAAAGTATTTTACAAAGCATTTTGAGTGGAATAGAAAACCGTTTTAAAAATATGGAAATTAATGATACGCTACTATTAAGCACATTTTTGGATCCCAGGTTTAAACACGTTGGGTTTTCAACAGAATCAGCTACCGAAAAGGCAAAGACATTGGCCACTAACGCATTGACTGCGCTCATTAATAAAAAAACTGACGAATTATTACCGCCACTCACATCAACTGCTGATCCTGAAGTTCAAGCATCCAGAGAACAAGTACCAAACGAAGAACAATTTTCCATATGGAGATCTTTCGACAAAAAGGCTCTCGGCTTTGTCCCTGTTCAGAGTAAACAGTCAAGGGCACAACTTGAAATACAGCGGTATTTGGAAGAACCACTTTTAAGCCGATCTGTAAATCCATTAGAGTGGTGGAAAATTAATACCTACAACTATCCCTATCTTAGCGAATTAGTTACAGTAAAATTTGGAACTGTAGCTACATCTGTCCCATGTGAAAGAATGTTTTCTAAAAGCGGGCAAATAATCTCCGATCGTCGAAATAGAATTTCTAGCAATAAAGTTAAACAAATTATGTTTGTTAATCAAAACGATTTTTGTTAAAATATAATGTGTATGATTTTGATTAATATATTTTTATTTATATACATGTTATGTGTAAATTACTTTAGGACAACCTGTATATATAAAAGCCTTATATAAACAAGGATAAAAGTTTGCATTTCTCTGTCAAAAACGTAGTCAAAGCATAAAAAAATGATTTTTGTCTTTACCATCCAAAACCATCTTAAAAAAGAGAATTTGATATTAAATTCATAAAGATCTTCATTATATTTTTATAATACTAAAATATCAAAAGATAATTAAAGATTTGTTGTTTTTTGCATCTCAAAGTTGTTGAATATGTTTACTTATGTCCCTGGATTGTCTTTATAAGAGGAAAAACTTTTTTATTGTTGACATTTTAAGAAATACGCGTTCTTCATAAAAAAAATTACTTTTTCTTCGAATTTATGTTACCATAGAAACGCCTTTTTATTTTTAGAACTTAGAAAAAATTCAACCACCATCACAACCATTTTGGAAAAGTATAAACGGGATTAACTATAGAAGAAGCAAAAATTTTTATGAAGAATACATTTTTCTCAAAATGACAATAATAAAAAAGTTTATCCTCTTATAAAGACAATCCGGGGACATACTGTATAAACAAGGGTAATATCTAATTATAGTATTTCAAGAGATTAATTTTTCTTAGTGCGATTCCCAATAATTTGATGTCTGTATAATTTAGCCTTTACTTGTTTTAGTGTTTGAAAAGTAATATCTTTATTTAGTGTATTTTTAGTATCTATTGTTTGTTGTATCATTATATCTGAATAGTAAATTTGTTTTTTGTGAGCTTTAAATCGTAGCAAAACCAACGAATATACATTATTTAAAATTAATATTATACTCCATGTCTTTGCTACCTTTTAAAAGTCTTTTCTTAACATAGTGTTTTTATTCTTATCACCATCTATAACAGTAATAGTGCGACAGCAGTGAAAAATACCGATGGTAATATATTTTGTATGATTATAAAAAAATATTACTTTGGAACTATTGTAATAATTTAAGACTGGAAAAATTAGAAAAACTCAAAACTTTTTTTTCTAAAGCATTTCTTTAGAAAAATATACATATTACTAAATAATTAATTAATTAAATTGTTATTTCCATTTTTTATTAGGTACTTCTCATTATTAAAATTTATAATAAATAAATTAATCACTAAATTTCTAAGCACCATTCACAATTTCTTAAAGTAAATCTTAGTAAAATTGTCTCTGAAGAGATTTAAAATGTAGCAAAAACAATGAAAGTATATATTTAAAGATATTAATAAAAATAACTAAGTAACTGAAACTTAATAACTAAGTACTGAAACATAGAGCGCCATAATATCTCGACCTCCGCCCGTTATGCCCGCAACAGGTTGAAAAATAATATATCTAAAACAACTGATGCGTTATTCTCCAACCTGTTTCGTTCGAATCGACAATCGACCGATGCAGCAGCGTTCCTTTCCCACACCTATTATCTCGCCAACCGCCCTGTTATGCTCATAATAGGTTGAAAAACAACATATCTAAAATGACTGCTTCTCCAACCCGTTGCGAGCCTCCAGCGACAATCGACCGATGCAGCAGCATTCATTCCCCACTCCTGTTATCTCGACCGCCAGGCGTTATGCCCGCAACTGTTTCAAAAAACCTGCTTCTTTTATATCCTATTATTTTTAAGCTGTTGTATGCCCAATACGACTATCGACGGCGTCGAGCGAAGCAGTTGCGTTTGCCGTGCGCACTCCCCACTCCGTTGTCCGTTGTCTCGCCGCCTGTATCGATAGTCGTCGAAATAACATGTTTTCCATCCATACTAGTTGTTGTTTGGAATTGCTTCGAGCAGCATAGAATTTAGACGCGTGGCGGTGCAGAGCGCCGACTTCGTTTTTCGTTTCACGAGCGGCCAATCTCTACGTGTCGTTATTTTATATCTGTTATTTTTTAGAAGTAGTAACGGTTGCGTTATGTTATTTCTAAATAATTGTTATAAAATAACAGATAGTTAAATAACAACCCATCACTAATAGATGGTATAAAGTTTCAATTTCAATTATACATAGTACTTTGAAAAATTATTATAATTTTCTGTACTTTTAATAACAGTGAAATATTGAAGTAAACTTTGTTTTTCTCCAAATAAATAAAAGCCCGAATATATTAAAAAATAATTAAGGTATGCTCACTTTTAATCTCTTTCACGCCGCTGACTGTCTCTCTAATTTCGGTACAAAATTTCAACCGAATTAGTCAAGGATCTTTATGAATAAAGGGACTCTGTTGATTAAATGCAAATCCGGTTCTGGGTCGTCACGCGAGCCACATTTACCCGTTACGTCGTCGGTCATTACTAGGGCGCCGTATTAATTCCAGAAAGCTTTATATATTCCGCATATTATACGCTAACTAATCATATTGTGGCCGGTTGCGAAAACATATTTTCACTTTTGTGTCGTTCGTAGTAGAACGAAAGGCGTTTTGTAGGTGTTCCTTTTGATTTTATTCGGTTATCCATGAAATTACATCTTGTCAGCCAGCAAAAATTAAAGTTAAATAGGTTATGTGAAGTTGTTTTGAGCTAAAATTATATAACAGGATTCATGGGTTTAAATTTTTGTTATAATATTTGTGTTTATGGTTCGCATTTCTTACAGAGATTTACTATCTTTTACGAATAAGATTCATGATGTTTTTTGTTTACCTTTTCAACTTCACTTCTTGTTTTAGAATACGGGGACAATTGTAGGATTTTTTTTAAATTATACCAGATAATTCAAACGAGTCCTTAGGAAAAAATATTTGTTTTTTAAATGGAATTTTTTATTTGCTGAAAATTTTTTAAATCTACATAGTAATTTTTAAATTATTAATATTTATTAAAAATATTATTTTACCAATTAAATAAAAGGCTTAATATATTAAAAAATAATCAAGGTATGCTCACTTTTAATTTCTTTCACGCCGCTGACTGTCTCTCTAATTTTGGAACAAAATTTCAACCGAATTAGTCAAGGATCTTTATGAATAAAGGGACTCTGTTGATTAAATGCAAATCCGGTTCTGGGTTGTCATGCGAGCCACATTTACCCGTTACGTCGTCGGTCATTACTAGGGCGCCGTATTAATTTCAGAAAACTTTATATATTCCGCATATTATACGCTAACTAATCATATTGTGGCCGGTTGCGAAAACACATTTTAACTTTTGTGTCCGTTGGTAGTTGGACGAGAAGCATTTTGCAGATTTTCTTTTTGATTTTATTTGGTTAGCTACAAAATTATGTTTTGTTAGCCAATAAAAATTAATGTTAAATAGGTTAATGTGAAGTTGTTTTGAACTAAAATAATATAACAGGATTCATGGGTTTAAATTTTTGTTATAATATTTTTGTTTATGAGACGCATTTCTTACAGAGATTCACTAATTTTTACTAATAAGCTTTATGATGTTTTCTAATTACCTTTCCAACTTCATTTCTTATTTTAGAGAATACGAAAATTGAATAATAAATAATATATAATGATCTAAAATATCTATAAAAATAGTTTAAAAGCTTACCTTTGCCCAAAAGCCAATCACTATTATTATAATAAGTTATTATTAATCACTTTATATAATCAGAAAAATGCGATGCGTGCCTGAATTTGCAATCGACTAATTCATCTCTCGCGAAATATACCGCTTTCTTACTACCAAATTTACGTCCGCGTCAAAGTCCGCGTGGTGATTTTGACCGTTAAAAAAGGGCGCAATAGTCACATACCGCTTTTTTACTACAAGTTTTGTGACATATTTCACGATCTTATTTAACGAATAGGGTGGTATTAAACAATGCCGCCTTATAACTTCAAATTTTATGACGTATTTGATATCCATCTTTTAGAAATAGAGCAATTACTGTCTAATGCCGCCTTTTTACTACATACTATTGCTCATTACGTCATCATTTTTTTAATATAAATGGCATATTTGCAAGAATGCCGCCTTTTAACATAAATATTTACACTTGCCGCCTTTTTACTTCCAAAATGTCGACGTTATGTCACTTGCCGCTTTTTTCAAATTTCGAAAATCGTAGAAAAAAAAATTTTCAAAAATATTTTTGAATATTTGGATAGAGTAGGGTCACATTAGTCTAAAAATGCAAAAATTTCAAAATTGAAAAAAATTCACTTGCCGCCTTTTAACTGCCGACGGCAGTATTATTGTAGGAATCATTTTTTTTAATTATACCAGGTAATTCAAACCTGCATTTAGCAAAAAATATTTTTTTTTTAAATGGAGTTTTTTATATTTGCTGAAAATTTTTTAAGTCTACATAATACTTTTTAAATTATTAATATTTATTCAAAATATTATTTGACTTTTATTCAATTTTCTGTTCATTTAATAATAGTGGAATAGTGAAATAAACTTTGTTTTTCTCCAATTAAATAAAAGGCTGGATATATTAAAAAAATAATCAACGAATGCTCCCTTTTAATCTCTTTCACGCCGCTGACTGTCTCTCTAATTTCGGAACAAAATTTCAACCGAATTAGTCAAGGATCTTTATGAATAAAGGGACTCTATGATTAAATGCAAATCCGGTCCTGGGTCGTCACGCGAGCCACATTTACCCGTTACATCGTCGGTCATTACTAGGGAACCATATTAATTTCAGAAAGCTTTATATATTCCGCATATTATACGCTAACTAATCATATTATGTTCGGTCGCGAAAACATATTTTCACTTTTGTATCCGTTAGTAGTAGGACAAGAAGCGTTTTGTAAGTTTTTATTTTGATTTTATTCGGTTATCCAAATTAAATGTTGTCAGCTAGCAAAAATTTAAGTTAAATAGGTTAATGTGAAGTTGTTTTGAGCTAAAATTATATAACAGGATTCATGGATTTAAATTTTTGTTACAATATTTGTGTTTATGATACGAATTTCTTACAGAGATTCACTATCTTTTACTAATGAGCTTCATGAAGTTTTCTGTTTGTCTTTTCA